TATGAAGCTAAGTGTCTTCTAAAACCTATTGGTTAGTTTATAGGTTTTAAAATTTTCTCTATAAATGGCATCTTGCTATACTGAAGCAGCCTGTGTATTTTGCTCAATAGTATTTGTGTCTTCCATCCCTGTTGGGACTCACACCTAAAGTTTATTTATCTTTTTTTTTTTTAAAGATTTTATTTATTTATTTGACAGAGAGAGAGCGAGAGAGGGAACACAAGCAGGGGGAGTGGGAGAGGGAGAAGCAGGCTTCCCGCCGAGCAGGGAGCCTGATGCAGGGCTCTATCCCAGGACCCTGGGATCATGACCTGAGCCGAAGGGAGACGCTTAATGACTGAGCCACCTGGGCACCCCTAAAGTTCATTTATCTTAACAGTTGTGTGCTTTTCCATAATATGAATATACCACAGATTGTGAATCCATTTTGCTGTTGTTTTCAGTTTTTTTGCTCTCAAGAATAGTGCTAGAGTGAATGTTTTGTTCATGTCTTCTGATGCACATGAGCAAAAGGTAAGAACAGCAGGAATCTGTGATCCTTTTTTTTTTTAAGATGTATGTATTTTAAAGAGAGAGAGAATGAGCGTACAAGTAGAGGGAGGGCTGAGGAGAGGGAGAGAGAGACTCCTCAAGCAGACTCCCCGCTGAACTGAGCATGCAGCCTGACATGGGGCTCAATCCCAGGGCCCTGAGATCATGATCTGAGCAGAAACCAAGAGTCAACCACTCAACCAACTGAGCCACCCAGGTGCCCCAGGAATCTGTGAACTTTTTGCCCAGAGCTACTCCCGACATCCCTGCCAGCCCTGACCTGAGAATGGCAGCAGAAACCATTTTTGCTGCTAGAGATGGTAGCCTCAATTTGGAATAGGAGCAGAGGCCTAAAGACCCTGGTTTCTACAATGTAAAGCATGGGTTTAGTTTAGAAAAAATGGTGAGAAACTCACAGCTTTGCAAGCCTGAGGCTGCAGTCCAAGTTTGGGTAACTGGTAGATGAGCAGCGTTTCACAGAAAAATCCTAGCAATTAGAGAGCCATGGAAGGTCTGAGATAGCTCTCCACATATCTCCGGCTGGCTGAGGAGCTACGCATGCATGGAGGAGACCTTGAGAAAGTCTTCCTGCACTAGCTTGACTTTTGAAAATGATGTTAAAAAGCAATACTCCTCATATTTTTGGATTTCAAGGACATGTTTTAAACTTTAATTATTAAATATAAAGTCTGTATTTTAGAAGCTTTTTAAAATATCAGAGACAAAGTTTTATAAGGTTTTGTATTATTTTGTGGAAGGGTGAAGTTATTAACTTCATTGTTATCTACTATTGATTATGTGTTTAAAATTCTCTAATTAATCATGAAAATGAAAGGAATAAAGAGTAAATATTTCAAACCATCAAGGAAATGAATTGCAACGGAAAAAAGAAACAACTCAAGCAGTAAAAAATGAAGGCAAGAAAAGTGGGAAAATGGAAATAGTAGGTTAAGCTTTAATAATTTTTATCTTGAATAGATACTGAATTTTCTGGAATGTTCTTTCTGTATCTCTTGAGATCTTAGATTTTTATCCTTTGATCCTTAATAAGGTAAGTTGCATTAACAGAATTTTTAAATGTAGAATCAAGGGGTGCCTGGGTGGCTCAGTCGTTAAGCGTCTGCCTTCGGCTCAGGTCATGATCCCAGGGTCCTGGGATCGAGCCCCGCATCAGGCTCCCTGCTCAGCGGGAGGCCTGCTTCTCCCTCTCCCACTCCCCCTGCTTGTGTTCCCTCTCTTGCTGCGTCTCTCTCTGTCAAATAAATAAAAACCTTAAAAAAAAAATGTAGAATCAAATTTGCATTTCTAGTGTAAACACAGTGTGGTAGTCAATTCAGTCTGTAAACCCAGGACTCCAGCAAAGGTAAGCAGATGCCCTCCAGAGAGATTCTATCTCCAAAGTTTCCTTATCTCTCTCAATTTCTGTTTGATCTTTATTTGGACAAGTTCTGAGGGTATCAGCTTTTCTTTCTTTCTTTCTTTCTTTCTTTCTTCCTTTCTTTCTTTCTTCTTTCTTTCTTTCTTTCTTTTTTGTTGAAAGCAGCACACTTTTTAATATTTGTTACAAGCAAGGAGACAGGGAGATAGTTCTAGAAGCACTGTCTCTGTCAATTTCTTGTTAGCAATATTCCGCCCCACATTTTTAGTTGTTTTTAACCATGAGATATTTCTTTAAGTTTATCTAGTTCACCATTGCATTGGAAATAGAAACCAAACATGCAATGTTATAAATAAAATAAATTTGGCAGTAGTTGCTTTACTTAAAATGTGTGTACTCTATACAACTACCCCTTGGAAATTATATTATCAAAATAATCTATGGTTTTAATTTGCTAAAACCAGGCTGTCTGTATTCAAATCTTGGTTCTATCTTTTCCAATGATAGGACTCAGATATTATTCCTCAATTCCAGAAATGTACATTGAGAACTTTATATGCATCTAAAGTTCACTGTCCCTGTGCAACAAAATCTTCAAAAGAGCACAGTGCCAGAAAGTTTATTAGGAAGGGAACAGTTTTAGTCCCTAAGCCAATTCTGACAGAGTTTTCCTTCACCAGTTTATTACAAATAGATTCCAGGTGATAGGTTGATGTTTGCGGTTTATTGTTGTTTATTTTAGTTAAAACTTTCTTGGAAGAGAGAGTGTTTTGGTCAATTGGATTTTTGGGTTCATTGAAGATGAATACTTCAACTCAATTTTTTTCAAAAATTTTTGAAAGAGTATAATAGGAGGTGCTAGTGTGCAGTGGGAAAAACGTTGGGTAAAGAATCAGAATAGTTTTGACTCTAGTGCTTAGAAGCTGTGTGATCCTTAATTTCCATGTGTATAAAACGAGGGTAATCATTTCTAATTAGGCAGTTTGTTGCAGGAGGAAATTGGATAATCCATGTAAAATGCCTTGGCACCCAGGAGGGATCTCAGGTCTTGCTTGCCTCTTCTCTGCCTTCCATCGCTGAAAAAATATATATTTATTTGTTTTCCTTTCTGAATAAATACATTCAAAGTGGAGTTTAAGTATTTATTCATTCATTCAAAACTATACTCATTAAATAATTTTAAAGCACCTACACTCTGCCAGGGACATGTTAGCTCTGAGAAAATGATGACAATAAAATACATATTGTTCCTGTTTTCAAAGAGCTTATGGGTTAGGGATTTATGTCTTATAGTGCTTCAGGCTCAATATCTTGAGTATAATTTGTCCCTAGAGAAGGGTAATTCCAGGCATCTGAAGTCTCCAGTTAGATGGGTTTGACAATATTTCAGTATAGCCATCTGGGTCTTGTGTTGTGTTATGTTCTTTATCGAGTGACAATAATGTATTACAAAGGCCCTCTGTAATGGCCAGCACTAGCTACGTAATTGCAGGGCCCCATGCAAAATAAAAATGAGGCCCCTGGCTCAAAAATTCTTAAGAATTTCGAGATGATGATAGTAGAGGATTTAATTAAGCACAGGGCCATTCTGAGTTGGGGGGGAGGGGGGCGTGTGACTACAGGACGTGGCCCTCGTCATGGTTGTATAGAGCTACCAAAGCCTGGGAAAAGATTTCTTTTCAACTAAGATTAGACTTATGGGAAAATGTGAGTTACAGAGTCGGATGAAGACATGAGAATGGTATTTCTTTTATTTCTAATAGCAGAGGTGGAGGAAATAATGTGATCACTAAGTAGTTATTTCATTAAACAAATATTTCCTGAGTGCCTCTTATATGCTCAACACTGTGGTAGGAGCTGAGGTTATACTGGAAAACACAACAGACCATGTCCTAACTTTTATGGACCATAGGCTACCCATGTGGAAAACAGAAAAAAGGAATAAGTAAATATCATTGATTATGGACTAGTGATACCACATCGAAGGCACTAGACTGGGCCCTCATCAGGAAAGACAGGATAGAGGATGTTACTTGTAGTGGTCAAGGAGGGCCTCCCGGTTACCTACCATAAGGCTTTCGAGCACTGCACTTGGAGAGAGTCAATTCTAGCTCCTTCACTTACTAGTTATGGGATTTGGGGCAAAGTCACATAACTGTCTTCTGCCTCGGTTTCCTTATGTAAATGAGAATAACAATAGTATATACCTTATAAGGTCCATGTGAAAATTAAATTAAGTGAGTTAACTAAGTGCTGTTTTTCAAGTTAAAGTTAAGCAACAGACTTCCCAGGCAAGGAGGAATCGGCCTTGCAGAGAGCTGTGAGGAAAATCCCTGGCTGAAGAAATAGTCATTGCAAAGGCTCTGGGGTATTTCAAGAACTTGCCAGAGACCTCTGTGCAGGGAATAAAGCACGGGAGAGACACAGGGCTATGGAAGGGAGTGTGAGCGGGGGCAGGGGCCAGATTTGGAATTAGGAAGCTAATTTCCTGCACAAAAGATAATGACTGATACTAATTCACATACCTTGTAAACCAAATCAACTCATTTATTTGAATCAGAAAACATATCAGAAATAACTGAAGCTAGCTTCCCAATTGTTTCCTTTAATGGCTGATCACAAATTATTTTTTTCCAACGCATGAGTGGACCGGCCACCAAAGAAATAACTTAGAAACATTGAAAAAAACAGACCCAAATCTCTGACACAGGGTGTTACATTCCTAATGCAACACAAAAGCCACTTGCAAAGCCTAAAACACAGGCTCCAAAGCACTTCTAGAAATGAACAGGAGGTTACTCTGCCACGTAAAGTTTTGTCACCATTTTATCGTCCCCTCCTTCATGTTCAGGTCACTGCCACCCACGGACACAGACTTTTGCAGCCCATGTGACATAAGCAGAGCAGAATCTCTACCAGATAAACCAACTTTGTTAGTGATAATCAAAAGTTGGCCAAATTTCAGATACCACCAAAGGCTTGTGTATTTCATCAAAGAAGAAATCTAGGGGGGCTGGGGAAAGAAAGCCAAAACCTAGAGGAGGAGTTAAGAAAGAAGGAGATGGCAGGTACGCTTCATAAACAACTCTACCTTGTGCAGCTAACTCTTTCCACCTCTCTTTGTTCTGCTGGATGATGTCCACCAGGTTGTTTTTGAAGCTCTGTAGGTCTACGCTTGTCAGGGAGTAGTCCGGGGAATAGGTTCCGTCGTTCACGGTGCCTTTCATATTCGATCGTCTAAACAAATCAACGCTGTGAACACAAGAAAGGTGCTGAAGCTAATAGTCACAATGAAAAAAAAAAAAAAGCCCAGAAAACACAAAGGTCAAGATATGAAATGAGGGAGCAAAGCCTGAAACACTTTACAAAACCAAACGCTGACCCAGAAATGCAGGTGCTCAGGCCCAGTTTGGAGAGTGCATCAGGGCTGCTCACGTCCCTCCTTTTCTCCTCTCAGGGAGAGGGGCCAGGACTCTGGCTGGAAGTCCCTGGGTGGGTCAAGGACTCCCAGAGCAGCAGGTGGGAGCACTCTTGCGTCATGGGGTGGCTAGGCCTGATTAGACCAGTGGAAACTTGAAGTGAGCTGACTTAGCAGTGAGTCCATTGGTGAACATCAATAAAGGGGCATCACGATTCTGGAGCCCTAAGTGGGGGCTCCCCCGAATCTTTCTCAGGTAGAACATTTCCTCAGTGTCCTCACTGGGGCCACATGTAGGGAGTCTGTTGGTGTGCCACTAGCAAAATTGTGTGTTCAGACGGACAAGAATATAAGCATGATTAGTTTCAACTGGAAGCTTTAAATAATATGCCTTAACAAATTTATTGATGAAAAGTGTTCAGCTTGAAATACTGTAAGTGATTGTATATATAATGGATGTTACTGTTACATGTTATACACATCTGTTGTACCCACATCAGCTACAAGCCTTCTTTTGGTATAAGCATCTCCCCAGATGTACAAGTGGGTTGTAACTGGTATGTACAAGTGGGTTGTAATTGGTTTGTTTGTAAGCAAACCGACACAATTAGATATGTTAATATCCAAGGCATAATACATGCATTTGCATGAAAATTCAGATATTTTCATTCTCAAGAGTATTGAATACTCTTGTGTTATACTCATTAGATATACTTTGCAGTGGACATCAAGTGAATTTCAAAGGCAGATGCAATATCACACCTAGCCACTAGGTGGAAATACTACCTAATAATTCTTTTAAGAATGTCCTGCCCTGCTGTAAGAGATAATAAAATAATCTTAAGTAAAAGGTTATTAAACAACACAAAGATAAAAAAAAGGAAGCAAAAAGGGAGAAAATATCAAACCTGCTTGCCCCATAGGAAGAAGTGTCTGTCTTTGAGGCTTCCTCTATAAGAGGAGTAATAATTTTCTCTGTTGAGTCTGTCAGAAGAGAAAATGTTGGCTCTACTATGAAATCAATGAAACCTACAAAAGCAAAAAAAAAAAATATATATATATATAAATTGAAACATTACAATTTCTTGAATTCTAAAATCTAATAATGAAGAGTCTGACGCACCTGACAGTAATTATCAGCTACAACACTGGTTCAGTTTACCCTTTGCAATTATTTTTAATCTAATAACATAATCTTTAGAGATACTTTAATAGCTCTATAAAATAATCTCCCAAGTAGTGGAAGTGATCCAATTTTAAGCCTGATAACTCGTGTATATTGGCTTTCCTATTTAATATTCAGTTTTATACTCTTGTTAACAGTAAATTCAAATCTAACCAGAGTGAATATAATTTCCTCTCTCAGTGAGAGGGATCATTACTTTTCTGAAAGGTCTCCACTTGCTTGTCGAATTTATTACTAATCAACAAAAAATAATATCTGAACTTCAAAGAAACAAAATAATTGAAGTTTTTTCTCAGGCCACAGGAAGGCAACCGCTTTTTTCCCCTCTTACTGTATCAGTCAGAGCTTTCTGGCAGTGTGTTAATATTTAAATTGCTGTTTATTATTCTCTGGATGTAAAGTGTTAGTTCACAGCCTGTGGGCGTGTTCTGTCAAATCAGTGAAGAGAACAGTAACAGCTCTGGGAGACAGCATTATTCCCACCACCTTGATGTGTCAGGATGAATAACAACTTTAAATGTAAAGTACTCATCAAGATAGAAAATGACACATAGAGAGAAGGGGGCACTGTCCTCTAGGGAGCCCTTCCCCCCTGGTGTTTAGTTGGAGGAGGAGATAACCTATTGCAGACTCTGTACACACTTCAACACTAAAGTCCCTGGAGAGGTGTGCCACTGGAAATCAAGGGCTTGTGGCCTCACACCTGGGAGCTATGGACGACCGTCTGAATATAAGAGGAAACTGAAGGGAGGCTTTTTAAGTGCTACTGTGCCCAGAAATATCCACATTTGAAGAATATCCCATCCATCAGATACAACTAATTCACATTTCAAGTAATTGGATTAGTAATATTATACATTAGGGTGCCTTTTTTTATGAGAGGGCGAGAGGGTGGGGGAGGGGCAGAGGGAGCGACAGAATCCCAAGCAGGCTCCACACCTGGCTGGAGCCCACAGGGGGCTCGATCTCACAACCCTGAGATCACGACCCCAGCCGAAATCAAGAGCCGGACATGTAAATACGGCCCCTAAGGTGCAATTTTAATTCAAGAAAACTTCAACAGTTTTGTGTTTTAATTGATGCCTTCAACTCAAAATGTTAATTGGCTACCGGTGTGCTACTTCCGTTCTGTCTGTGGTTTTAAATGCCTGGGATATGGAGACTTGAAAATGATGTGTCACCTCCACTAACAGGATAGCAATTTATATTATGGTAACAAGCCTCAGAAACTTCCCTTCTTTCCAGCTTGCCTGAGGAGGTTCTTAGCCTGTCACACTCACACCTGCTAAACAATGGTAGACACCTGTGTTATGGTATCTAGAAAAACAGCTTTTGGAACTTGGATGGCAAGGGGCAAATGTCAGAGCAAGAAGCTTTCTGACAGTTGACCACTGCTTTGTAGGACTTGGTACAGAAGCAGCTAGAGAGGTTAGGCGGCAATCCTTATGTTTATTAATCTTACAGCGCAGTAATAAAGATGCTGGCTCTGGGAATAACCATTACAAATATTTGGACCATGCAGCATAGCAACAATGTTTTAATAATGGGCTGAACTTGCCGGCTTATCTACTTATAACAAAATAATTTTTTTCTGAAGGATTAAAAGCTACTGTATTAAATATATATTGCAAACTTAGTGATAACAACACAGATATATTAATATTTTCATTGCATTGTCCTACATACAAAGGATTGAACTACAGATTACAATTGTCAGCAACAAAACACAAAAAATGCTGTCTCTTACACAAGAAGAAAGTCCATTATTTGTAAAGGGGTTACAAGTCAAATAACAATTACATTTACTAATACTGCTGATTGAGTTCATTTTGTGAGAATTTTTCAAAATTCTTATCATTCAGCACCATATACATCAGTCTAAAGATCAAATTTATTATGAATATGAAGTGAGGTTTTCATGGATGTTGCCCCTTTGAACAACATGGTTTATCCATTTGAAAACTGGCTCACACACGCCCACCCTCCATAACCACCATTCCTGAGTAGTACCTATTTGTGACTGGGCCACCATCGTTGACTTCCGATCACAAAGAGGGGAAAATGGAAGTCCTAATTCAGCTTCTTTATCTCCCTGTGAAAGGAAAGCTCATTAGTACAGACTTGGGTTGGAGATGCTTAGATAATGAGCAGTCTAGATACAAAGTCTAAAAAAAGCCACATCTTTATTTTAATTGGCACTGTTTTTATTTATTTAATTTTTATAAAACCAAAGGTATAGTCCAAGTTGATGTAACTTTACTCAGTCTCCCTTTTGAGGACATATATGTTGCTGAAGAAAAAAAAATGAGCATTTTCAGCACGTGGAGACTCTGCTTTGGCATTACAACCCCTTTACTATACAGAGACAAACCTTTGCTCTTTGGAATTTTCGGCAGCTACCATAAAATAGTCATCCCTGTGTGTTATTTCACATTTAATTAACACTCAAGCTCGTGGATTTTTATGCTCTTTTCTTCCGCCATGCCAAGTACATCACACAGATCTTCAAGTATCAAGGCTTCATGATTGTACTGCTTTTTTAAATTAAAAATATACAAACATTTTGAAACATCTTTCCACTTATTAACCAATTTTAATTGAATCTCCCACAGCAAATAATGAAGAATATTTTCAACATTTTTACTCTCTATGTGCATCATTTTATTTTAATATAGTCTCAGAAAATTGAAATGTCAATGATTTTTATTATTTGATCTTATCTATGGTAGGTTAATTGAGCACATATGTTAAAGAATTCCATTTATGTTTGGGTTCAACACCATAAGAACTAATTCAGTTTTCATCTCCTAAAATGAAGGCTGCTCTGGGCAAAACATTCTCTTCACAAGGTTTATCAAACATCAAACACAGGTTCTTTCCTTTGCATTCAAGGGGATATGCTTACAAAAGAAAGAGAAGCTACTTTACTTGCTTCTCTTCCCTTCAATTTTCTGGGTATTTGAAAGAATGCCTCGGACTCTATTTTTTCCTCAGCTATCGGTTGTATATCTTCATGGACTACACTGGCCTTGTGTAAGGCCACATTTTAGGACACACGGTCAGGTTCTGAAATCAGAAGACAAAAGGGAAGGGCCTTCATTTTTGCTTTGTTGTGGAGCCCATGTAACAATGGTAACAATGGACCGCCTATTGGAGGAATTCCGAGTTCCCACTCACTCAGCGTCCTTGAACACCTTTTCTCATGATCTTTACAACATCATGTCAATATGTTTTATGTGCTTTACAATTTTTCATTGACAATGTTGCTTGGTGCACTTCCTCTAAACCATGCCTCTGATTATAAGGAGCAGAAAGTTTGAAATCAGAATTGTTTGGAGAAAATCTAGATATGGTCACCAGAGAAGTAGGCAAAGTAGCTGCAAATGGGTATATTTTACTGTCATGACTTAGAGAAAATGGGGCGTAGAATTTCCATGACCTCCTTCAGCAGCCATGCTCCTTCCTTAGAGGAGAACGACACCCATTCCATTTGGAATTAATATTTATATCCAGGGCGAGGAATTATTAGTGCCATCAGCCTTGGAGCTATAAGATACACACTTGAATCCCTGCTGTTCAACTGGTTCTCTCTGTTACTTTAGACATATCATAACCTTTGCTGGAATGAATTCTCCTCATATGTTACCTCACTTGGTAATTGTGGCTAACTCATATTAGGAATAAAGATATCAGAGTACCTACCTAGTAGGATTATCCTGAGGCTATCTATGGTAATTTACATGAAGCCTAGTATTCAGTAAACAGTCATTAATATTAGCAAATAAGAACCACACTTCTTCCAGGTAAAGAGGATTGAGAGTACACTATCCGTGATGAGCACTGAGTATGGAACAGAAGTGTCGCATCACTTTATGGTACACCTGAAGCTAATATAACATTATATGTTCGGGGGGGTTGGGGGATGGGTTAGCCTGGTGATGGGTATTAAAGAGGGCCATTCTGCGTGGAGCACTGGGTGTTATACACAAACAATGAATCATGGAACACTACATCAAAAACTAATGATGTGATGTATGGTGATTAACATAACATAAAAAAAGACAAATAAATAAAAAAGAACCATAATTAATAATAGCAAAGATACAGAACTGTGAGATATTTATGATGTCTAATGCATATTTTGGATGGTTTTAAACCACAGGAAAAAGGACTGGTACTTAATTGAGCATGTGGCAGAGAGGCATTGGCTTCCCCCCCCCCACCCTGTTTTCTAGCAGGGAATTGACCGACAGGAATTCTACCTTTGAAAGATTGATTTGTCAGCAGTGTGGGGGATGACAAGAAGTGAATTGAAGATGACTCTTGGGCTTCACACCTGAATGAACAGGAGTCTTTGGTGCCACTAATAGAAGTAAGACAATACGAATGAGGGCTGGATTTGAAGACTATTATGGATTTGATTTTTAGCATATTGAGAATAAGGTACAAGAATAATATCATTGTTTATGTTAAACTGTAAATAATAATATTGTTATTGTTAAAATAGAAATAAAGCTCCTCATGGACTTCATGGGAAATGCGATATTGGAGATACTTATCTGACCTATGCAGATATGACTGATTGGTTTTATTGATCAGGGGGTTGCTGTCTGGTATTTTAATAGCTATATTTTTATACTATATAACAGCAGTTCTTTGATCTAAAAATGATAATTTGGGCCTGAAGAAGACATTGTGATGATTTTACCTTCCATGAGCTAAATTTTCTGGAATGCTAGATGGCAACATTTTCATATAGGACTTAGGCATTTGACAGATTTATGTAGGGTCCACCTTCCTATATTTGGAGTGAGAAATTTTATATTCTTTTTGCTTTTTGTATTCCACAATGGAATTGGAATATTAAATTTCCACTGCTAAAGCACATTGAATGCTAAAGCACATTAATTATTTAATTTATTTATAAATATTTAAAGTGTTATCCTTTAGGGTGAATTAAGGCCATGAGTGCAAGATTAGTAGGGGGCCCTATAGCCAGACTCTGAGGGCGCTATAAACAAAACAGGACAAGGCGGGGGTTACTACTAAATGAGAGGGAAAGATATGTAAAGAGAAAGTTGGATTCCCTGAGGATAAATTTGACAAACTTTGTAATTTTCCTTATAATATCCCTGAATAGGGAACATTTACTTTCCATCAAGATGAAATCAGGGGTCAAGGCAACAGACATTATAAAAGTCAACTAGTTTTTCTTGGAGGATGTACTTTCATTTGAGGGCACTGCCTTCAGGAGGCCAAAAATGTACTTTCAAAAAAATCAGTAAAATACCGAATATACATATATTCTGGTACATTGATTTGTACAGTGGTTGGAGCAAAAATATAGGGCCCTAAGGCCACCAAACTCAATTAATTAATCAATGCCACTCAATTCTGTTCCTGGATCCCTGCATCTGTTCTTGGGGATGAGCCTGCAGGTGGAGAAGGGGAGAAAGTGACCCCAGCAACATGGAAACACCAGGCAGCCTGTGGTGCTCAGGCTCCTGCCTGTCTTCCGTTCCCCTGGAGGTTGCTGAGGTTTCTTCTCTGAAAGGCCACAACAAAGACCAATCATTATTTTTATATTTTCTTAACAGTGTGAAATGCTCTGATCGCTGTCAACAGGATATCAAATCCAGTGACTTACTGGCACATTTTTTGTTTTTTCCATTTTATCTGAAGCCAAAGCAATTTCTATAGCTTTCAAGAACTGAAGAAGTTAGAAAAGGGTGAAGTATAGAAATCCTGAGAAACCTTTTGCATTGAAACCTAAGTTTTAATCACAGAAACCACACCACCAATAAACATATAGGAAGCTCCTGACCACAGACCTGGGGGCCACTATTAGGCCAAGAATGAATTGGAGGGGCCACTAGTTCTATCGAGGAATTTAACTGAGGAGAAGGGGAAGAAGCAGTAGTTTAGCCCTCTTGGCACAACCTACTTAAGGGATTTAGGCCACCTAATTATCTTCCTTCTTTCTAAAAAGTCCTTCTAAATTCTAGAAAGCTACCAAAACTGTCTAAAAGTTTAATGATTATTATAGGTAACATATTCACTTTCAGCAAAATTTATGATGTGGTATAATTGTATTTTGTGAGTTATATTTTGTAGAACATTAGTACCCCTTGTATAATACTTGCATGCCTCTTAAAACTATGAGCTTTGATTTTTACATTTTAAGTTATTATCCTGGCTCATAGCTAGGGTTCTTTATAGTGATGAATATTTCTTTGGTTGTGTCTGAATTTGTGATGCCAGATCCTTGGCTGGGAATGCACTAAGTACACTTTTATTAATGTGGTAAATAAAACCTATTTTGAAATAACACACTTTATACTACTTCTAGCAATGCTGAAGAACATAAGGGGCCTGATGATATACAATTTAGAATAAATAATAACTTTGTCCTTCCCTCTCCAAAAAAATTGCATTCCCAATTATTTGTTTGACAAGGTAATACTTATTGGTAAATGGAGATTTTACATAAATGTCATTGTTTTTTTAGTGTGTCTCAAAACAACTAGTTGAAAAAGGGAAAAATTCACTTAGTTATTGGGTTCCTATAGTATGAAGCATGAACAAATCTTTATTGGTAGTAACTTCTTATCTTGCCAAACTAATATGTCTGTTCAAAGAGAGAATAAAAAGCAAAAACCTGTCTTCCTGTACTAAATGCTTTTTCCTTGGCCAGTCCCTCCATCTCTGATGTCTGTCTCATCACTCATAGTTGTAAAGAAGGGAGCATCTTCCAAATCCACACATTACAGTCAGAGGGCAAAGGCAACTGTGTTGAGCTGCATGAACACTCGAGGAGAGGACATTAACTCTATTGATGAATATCACAATCGTGCTGTGAAACATGCTTTGGAGATGAGGACTTGCTTTATCATCGGTTGCTTACTAGAGACAGAAATAAGTTTCTCAAGGCTGCAAAATCTGGATACAATTCTGATCTTCTCGGGCTAGAGTTTCTCATGGCTTTAGAAGGTACACTTAAAGTAGCTACACCAAGAGTTGGGGGAACATTGATGGATTTTAAAGGATGGTACAGATATCTTGGTCGACCTTGGTTTGTCTTCCAGAAATACA